TTTATATATCTGTGGAATGTCCAGGGCGGGAGAAAGAACTCTTGTCTGTTTGAGCTAAGTGTGAATGTTTCAATTGGTCACCTTGAGTAGTATTTGATGGCCTGTGGGAGAAAGACCCTTTGTCTGTTTAAGGCAAGTGTGAATGTTGCAATGTTTCAGAAGCATTCTCTCCTGACATTTCGCCTGCATCTATGGCAGGCATCCTCAGAGGTTGTGAGGCCTGTTGGAAACTAGGAAAATTGGGTTTTCATATCTGTGGAATGTCCAGAGCGGGAGAAAGAACTCTTGTCACCTTGATTAGCATTTACCTGACATTTCACCCACATCTATGGCCAGCATCCTCAGAGGTTGAGTGGGCTGTTGGAAACTAGGCAAGTGAGGTTTATATATCTGTGGAATAATGTCCAGGGTGGGAGAAAGAACACTTGTCTGCTTGAGGCAAGTGTGAATGCTGCAATCGATCGCCTTGATTAGCATTGAAAAACCTGGCAGCTTCAAGTCCTAACAGAATCATAGAGTTGGAAGAGACCTCATGGGCCATCCAGTCCAACCTTCTGCCAAAAAGCAGGAAAATCACATTGGCTGCTTCCTGTCTGGGCAGGCCTGTAGCCGGGGGGGGGGGGGGGGTGTTTGAGGGGCTTCAGCCCCCCCCCCCAAATTCTCAGGGTGTTCCACGAAGAAGGCCTTACTGGTACATTATTTAAACTGTTATGTTTATTCATATCATGATCTGATCACCATGCTCAATATATCCCATATGCATGGGGGTATTGGGATGATACAAAAGGTTTGCTAGGGTAGATCCTGAGCCCCCCCCCCCCCAATATCAAACTCAGCCCCCCCCCCCCCCGGCCCCGAATCAAAATCCTGGCTATGGGCCTGTGTCCGGGGGAATCCTTTGTTGGGAGATGATTAGCAGGCCCTGGTGGTTCGCTGTCTGGAATTCAACCAGAAAAGTCAGCCATAGCAGAGCACTTGACACAGCTTATTATTTGAGAACACAGAAATGCTGGACCACTCTCACAACCACCATGTCAAACTACACAGAGAAGCCATTGAAATCCACAAGCATGTGGACAATTTCAACAGAAACGAGGAAATCATGAAAATGAACACAATCTGGCTACCAGTATTTTAAAAAACTCTAAAATCAGGGCAGTAAATAAAGAGGAACACTAAAAAAAACCCAGGGGAATTCCAGACAAGAAACAATCAAGGCCAGCTAACACCTCCCAACAAAGGATTCCCCTAGGGTGGAAGCAACCAGGCTTTGGATCCGCAAGGCTTTTCAATGCTGTATTGTCTAAAGCTTTCATGGTTGCTGAGTTTTTCGGGCTGTATGGTCATGTTCCAGAAGCATTCTCTCCTGAAATTTCACCCACATCTATAGCAGGCATCCTCAGAGGTTGTGAGGTCTGTTGGAAACTAGGCAAGCGAGGTTTATATACCTGTGGAATAATGTCCAGGGTGGGAGAAAGAACTCTTGTCCAGCAGCATTCTCTCCTGACGTTTCACCCCATCTATGGCAGGCTTCCTCAGAGGTTGTGAGGTCTGTGGAAACCAGGCAAGTGAGGTTTATCTATCTGTGGAATAATGTCCAGGGTGGGAGAAAGAACTTTTCAGTGCTGTATTGTCAAAGGCTTTCATTACCAGAGTCACTGGGTTGCTGAGTTTTTCGGGCTGTATGGTCATGTTCCAGAAGCATTCTCTCCTGACGTTTCACCCACATCTATAGCAGGCATCCTCAGAGGTTGTGAGGTTGTTGGAAACTAGGCAAATGGGGTTTATATACCAGGGTGGAAGAAAGAACTCTTGTCATTACCCCAAGCTGTAAGAAGCCAGACCTTGAAACTGCTGGGCCATTAAATGCTAATCAATTTTTTGTTTTGTTTTTGGTGTGATATGGGTGAAATGTCAGGAAAGAATGTTTCTGGAGCATGGCCATACGTCCCGGAAAACTCACAACAAGCCACTTTTCAATGTTAATCAATGTGATCAATTGCAGCATTCAAGTAAACAAGAGTTCTTTCTCCCACCCTGGACTTTCCACAGATATAACAATCCCACTTGCCTTGTTTCCAAGAGATCTTACAACCTCTGAGGATGCCTGCCACAGATGCGGGCGAAACGTCAGGAGAGAATGCTTCTGCAGCCGGAAAACTCAAAGCAACCGAGTGATTCCTGACATGAAAGCCTTCCTTGTCGTAAATCCCGACGTCCTTCCTCCGACCTGTTGAAACGGATCGCCCCGAGGCAAAGAAACGGATCTATAACGAAGCCAAGGCCTGTCTCCTCGCTCGGGGCCTCTCCGAGGTCGAGGCAGCGGCGGAAGCCCCCGGTTGAAGGGAAAAGGCGGCTTCAACAGAGGAGAAGCCTGCAGCCCCCCCCCCCCCCCGCCTCCCTCCCTCCCTCCCTCCCGCACAGCATCAGCGCCTGAGCAGCCCGGACCGTTGCTAGGCGACGCAGCATCAAATGGATGGAGGTCCTGCAAATGGACCACTGAGGAGGAAAAGGAAGAGGAGAGGAGAAGGAGGGGAAAGGGAGGAGGCATCTCCCAATTTAACCCCCCCCCCTCCAATTCCTCCTTCCTCTTTGCTGATCACTGTCCCCCCCCCCCCCCCCCCCCCCCTCCCACTCCCGTTATGGCAGGAACTGCTTCTGAGTTGTCTTGCAAAAGGCCTGGGAAAAGCGTTGGATGTAAACGTGGCGTTTGAGGGCCAGGGCGCGGGGGGGGGAGGGGCACAGAGGCCATTGAGTCGTGGCCCCGACTCAAGCACTCCTGAAAGAGGCCCGCACAGCCACTGGTGGAAGGAAGGATGGGAGGGAAGGGAGGGAGGAAAAGGAAGGGAAGAAGGAAGGGAAGGAAGAAAAGGAAAGGAGGGAGCGAGGGAGGGAGGGAGGGAGGAAGGGGAGGGAGGGAAGGAGGATGGAAAGAAAGAAGGAAAGGAGGAAGGGAAGGGAGGGAGGGAGGGAGGAGAGAAGGAAGGGAAAAAGGAAGGGAAGGAAGGAAAGGAAAAAGGAAGGAAGGAAGGAGGAAAAGGAAGGGAAGGGAGGAGGAGGAAGGAAGGAAGGGAAAGAAGGATGGAAGGAAGGAAAGGAGGAAGGGAAGGGAGGGAGAGGAAGGAAGGAAGGGAAAAAGAAAGAAGGAAAAGAAGGAAGGAAGGAGGAAGAGAAGGGAGGGAGGGGAGGAGAAGAGAGGGAAGGAAGGAAGAAGGGAGGGAAGGAAGGAAGGGAGGGAAGGAAGAGGGAAGGAAAGGGAGGGAGGGAGGAGGAAGGGGAAAGAAAGAAGGAAAGAAGAAGAAAGGAGGAAGGGAAAGAAAGGGAGGGAGGGAGAGAGAAGGAAAAAAGAAGGAGAAAGAAGGAGGAAGGGGGAAGGAGGAAGGAAAGAAAGAAAGAAAGAAAGAAGGAAGAAAGGAAGAAAAGAAAGAAGAAAAAAAGAAAAAAGGGGAAGAGAGATGGGGGAAGGAAGGAAGGAGGAAGGAAAGGAGGAAGGAAGGAGGGAGGGAGGAAGGAGAAAGAAAGGGAAGGAAAGGAATGGAGGGAGGGAGGAAAAGAAGGAGGAGGGAGGAAAAGGAAGGAAAGGAAAGAAGGAAGGGGGAGGGAGGGAGGAAAAGGAAGGAAAAGGAAGGAAGGAGGAGGAGGAAGAAGGGAGGAAAGGAAGGAAGGAAAGGAGGAGGGGAGGAAAAGGAAGGAAGGGAGAAAGGAAGGAAGGAGGGAGGGAGGGGGGAGGAAAAGAAGGAAGGAAGGAAGAAGGGAAGGAAGGAAGGGAAGGAAGGAGGGAGAGGGAGGGGAGGAGGAGGAAGAAGGAAAGGAAGGAAGGAGAGGAAGGAAAAAGAAGGAAGGAAAGAAAGAAAGAAGAAAGAAAGAAGGAGGAAGGAAAGAGAAGGAAGAAGGAAGGAAGGAAGAAAGGAAGGAAGGAAGGAAGGAAGGAAGGAGAGAAGGAAAGAAGAAGGAAGGAGCGCCCGTCCCGCCGTCGAACAGAGCCCAACGTTGGGGCGGAATCTCTTCCCTCGCCCCTCTTCCTCCCTTCCAAAGGCATTACCCTCCCTCCCGTTCCCCGGAGCTGCCCTTCGGCCGCACCCCACCCCTTAGAAACCCTTCTCGTGGCCCGCGACCGGCCCCTCCCGGTTGTAGGAAAGGAGGGGGGCTCGATTTCACTCTCAAGGGCCGCTCGGGGCCCCTCCCCTCGCCTCCGAACCTGAGGGCCGGGTCTCCGCTCTAAAAATAGATTTGGAGAGGGAGGGAGGGAGGGAGCGAGGGAGGGAGGGGCGGAGAGGGAGCCCTCCTCTGCCTCCTTCTCCGTCCTCCCTCGGAAGAGCGCCGTCGAGCGGCGGCGAGGCAGCAGATTGGGCTTCTTCTTTCCCTCCCTCCTTCCCTGAGTGCGCCTCCCCTCCCTCCCTCCCTCCCTTGCTCGCCCCTCCCTCTCTCCCTCTCTCCCTCCCTCCCTCCCTCTGTGTCTCCCGCGCGCGGCCCCGGTTCCTCCGCAGCGCAACGTCGGGCGTCGCTGGTCTCGGGCTCCTTGGTCCTCCTTCTTCTTTTCCTTCTTCTTCTCCTTCCCCAGGAAGAGGGGGTCTCTCGGGGGAGGGAGGGAGGGGAGGGGAGGGGAGGAGGATGCGGCGGCGGCGCTGAGGGCCGAGGAGGAGGAGGATGCTGCTGGAGGCCCCGCGGAGGCTCAGGCGGAGGGCCAGGCGGAGGAGGCGGCAGCAGCAGCAGCAACAGCAACAGCGGGGGAGACAACAGCAGCAGCAGCAGCAGCAACAACCACCGAGGGGCCAGGGCTCCCCACGAGGAAGAGGAGGAGGTGGGGGAGGAGGAGGAGGAGGAGGAGGAAGAGGAGGAGGAGGAGGAGGGGGCCGGTGAGCCGTCAGCGCAGATCTCCCCCCTCCCCTTTGAAGCCCCCCTGCAGTCGCCCCCCACCCCACTCCTGCCTCCAGTCTCAGAGCCCACCCCGGAGCCCCCTCCCTTTGGATCCAGAGAGAGAGAGAGAGAGAGAGAGGGCCGCCCCTCCCCCTCCCCTTCCCCCTCCCCTCCCCCTCCCCCTCCGTTCTGGCGGTGGCAATGTGGAGACTCCAGGCAGAGAGGCTGAGTGGACTCGTCTCGGCTTTAGCGGCTCTGTGTCTCGTCTGCGGTGCTCAAAGGTAGGCGGTAAAAGGGGGGGGGGGGGCGGGAAGGAAAGGGGGGCTCGCCCTGAGGGAAGGGAAAGGGGGGCTTCGTCGCTGCCTTCTTCTTCCTCCTCCTCCCGCATTGCTTGGTTCCTCGGCGGAGCGGGCGCCATGCCTACATCCTCAACCGCGTTGCGTTGCTGTGGGTGGTGAAGGGGGGGTACAGCCTCCCCCAGCAACCCACTGCCCCCCAATAGAGAAAGGGCGCCGCACCATAGCCCCATACCTTCTCCTCAAGTCCCTGTGGGATCTCCACGAAGGGAGAATGAGCCCCCCACCCTCTCCTCAAGTCCCCACGAAGAGAGAATGAGAGGAGGGGGTTGAAAGGGTCCTATCTCGCAACCCTCCCCCCCTTTCGTCAAGCGCAGAGAGTCCCCTCTCGCGACGAAGAGGAGTCGGGGCTGTCCGAAAGCCCCACACACCGTCCCCCCCTTTCCCAGCTCGCATAGCCCCCCACCCTCTCCTCAAGTCCCCACGAAGAGAGAATGAGAGGAGGGGGTTGAAAGGGTCCTATCTCGCAACCCCCCCCACCCCCTCGCCAAGCGCAGAGGGTCCCCTCTCGCGACGAAGAGGAGTCGGGGCTGTCCGAAAGCCCCACACACCGTCCCCCCCTTTCCCAGCTCGCATAGCCCCCCACCCTCTCCTCAAGTCCCCACGAAGAGAGAATGAGAGGAGGGGGTTGAAAGAGTCCTATCTCGCTGCCCCCTCCCCCCTTTTGCCAAGCGCAGAGGGTCCCCTCTCGCGACGAAGAGGAGGCCAGGGCTGTCCGAAAGCCCCACACACCGTCCCCCCCTTTCCCAGCTCGCATAGCCCCCCACCCTCTCCTCAAGTCCCCACGAAGAGAGAATGAGAGGAGGGGGTTGAAAGGGTCCTATCTCGCAACCCCCCCCACCCCCTCGCCAAGCGCAGAGGGTCCCCTCTCGCGACGAAGAGGAGTCGGGGCTGTCCGAAAGCCCCACACAGCCTTCCCAGCTCGTTTGGACTGCCCCCCCCCACCCTCAGGGGCAGCGCCGTCGGGGGAGCAAAGAGGAGGGCCCTGAATCCCCCCTCCCCACCCTCACCCTCCGTCGCCGCATGAGGGAGGGTCTGCGCCTCGCTCTGTGTGTATGTCTATCGCTCCCATCCGCCTCTGTGGTTTGGCTTTGCAGGGCAGAGGAGGGGGTAATCCCGATGGAAGGGGGGCTTCGTGGACTGGAGATCCCCCTCCCAAATTGGCCCTCCTTTGACTAATAGCCAGTAGGGCAGGGGTTCCCCCCACAGGCGCCCAGAAGCAGAGCCCTTCCCTTCTCTGTCTGGCTCCACAGACTTTGGACGGCTGTGTCCTGCCTTCCCTGGAAAAGACTGAGGTGCAAAGGGCAACCCCTGGCCTGGCTCCCTTCACCCACATCAGGACCCTCTTTGGGTTGTTTGCTGTGAGTTTTCCAAGCTGTATGGCCATGTTCCAGATACATTCTCTCTCCTGAAGGTAGGCAGGCCTCCTCAGAGGTTGTGAGGTCTGTTGGAAACTAGGAAAATGGGGTTTATATGACAGGGTAGGAGAAAGAACTCTTGTCTGTTCAATTGCCAAAGGCTTTCATGGCTGGAATCACTGGGTTGTTGTAGGTCAGACCTCCCTACCTCTCAGGATGCTTGTCATAGATGCAGGCGAAACGTCAGGAGGGAATGCCTCTAGAATAGTGGTTCTCAACCTTCCTAATGCCGCGACCCCTTAGTACAGTCCCTCATGGTTGTGGTGACCCCCAACCATAATATTATTTTTGTTGCTACTTTATAACAGTCATTTTACTACTGTTAGAAATCATAATGTAAATATCTGACATGCAGGATGCATTTTCATTCACTGGACCAAACTGGGCACAAACACCCAATACGCCCAAATGTGAATGCTAGTGGGGTTGGGGGAGGATTGATTTTGTAATTTGGGAGTTGTAGTTGCTGGGATTTATAGTTCACCTTAAATCAAAGAGCATTCTGAACTCCACCAGCGATGGATTTGAACCAAACTTGGCTCCCATGACCAATGGAAAACACTGGAAGGGTTTGATGGGCATTGACCTTGGCTTTGGGAGTTGTAGTTCACCTATATCCAGAGAGCACTGTGGACTCATGCAATGGTTGATCTGGACCAAACTTGGCACGAGTACTCAATATGCCCAAATGTGAACATTAGTGGATTCTGGGGAAAATAGATCTTGACATTTGGGAGTTGTAGTTGCTGGGATTTGTAGTTCATTACAATCAAAGAACATTCTGAACTCCACCAACAATAGAATTGGCTCAAACTTCCCACATGGAATCCCCATGACCATCGGAAAATACTGTGTTTTCTTATGGTCTTTGGTGACTTCTCTGACACCTCCTCGCAACCCCCTCAGGGGTCCCGACCCCCAGGTTGAGAAACACTGCTCTAGAACATGGCCATATTTATTTATTTATTTTGATTTCTTCTACCCCACCCTTCTCACCCCGAAGGCGACTCAGGGTGGCTGACAAAGGCACAATTCGATGCCAGCATCACATAGTAAAACAAAATAACATCAATTAAACAGTTAAACAGTTGAACAATTAAACAACAATTCCTGCATTACATCCATAAAACCAATAAAACAATACAAACCCAATTACTCCTCATAGACGGTCAGCATTCGCTATCTCATAGTCCAAATTCCAATTCCACATTGTCAGTCCTGTCAGTCCTAGTCATTTGATTGCCCTTATCTAGTTGTCAGATTGCCCAAAGGCCTGGTCCCACAACCACATCTTTACTTTCCTCCTGTAGGAGATGAGGGATGTTGATGCCCTAATTTCTCCCAGGAGTGAGTTCCACAGGTGAGGGGCCACCACCGAGAAGGCCCTGCTCCTCGTCCCCACCAATCTCACTTGTGACAGCGGTGGGGTCGAGAGCAGGGCCTCCCCAGATGATCTCAGACTCCGGGGTGGGACGCAGAGGGAGATACGTTCGGACAGATACAGTGGACCGGAACCGTACAGGGTTTTGTAGGTCAAAACCAGCACCTTGAATTGTGCTCGGAACTGAACTGGCAGCCAGTGGAGCTGGCACAGTAGGTGTGAATGTTTCAATTGGCCACCTCAATTAGCAGAACCCCCGGTGGTGCAATGGGTTAAACACTTGCCCTCTTGAAGACCGACAGGTAGCAGGTTCAAAAACAGGGAGAGCGCCAATGAGCTCCCTCTGTCAGCTCCAGCTCCCCATGCGGGGACATGAGAGAAGCTTCCCACAAAGATGGTAAAATGTCAAAATATCCAGGTGTCTCCTGGGCAATGTCCTTGCAGATGGCCAATTCTCTCACACCAGAAGCGACTTGCAGTTTCTGAAGTCGCTCCTGACATGAAAAAAAAAAGATACCCAGAAAGAAGCCACAGCCTTGCCCGGCACTTGTTTATATCTGTATTTACTCAAGTCTAATGCACACCTCAATTTTCAAAACCCCGAAACAAGAAAACCAAGTTTCTCGCGTTGCTTCCTGACACTCTCACACACAAAAAACACCTTGATTAGCATTTAATGGCCCAGCAGTTTCAAGGTCTGGCTTCTCACTGCTTGGGGGAATGACAAAAGTTCTTTCTCCCACCCTGGACATTATTTCACAAATATATAAACCCCATTTTCCTAGTTTCCAACAGACCTCACAACATCAGAGGATGTTTGCCATAGATGTAGGTGAAACGGCAGGAGGGAATGCTTCTGGAACATGGCTGTACAGCCCGGAAAACTCACAACAACCCATTGATTCTGGCCATGAAAGCCTTTGACAATACATAGGACCCTGTTTGTGTGTGAATGATCTTGGAGTCCTCGTGGACAGCAAGTTAAACATGAGCCAACAAGGTGATGTGGCGGCAAAAAAAAGCCAATGGGATTTTGCCCTGCATCCATAGGAGCATAGTGTCTAGATCTAGGAAAGTCATGCTCCCCCTCTATTCTACCTTGGTTAGACCACACCTGGAATATTGAGTCCAAGTCTGGGCACCACAATTGAAGAGAGATATGGACAAGCTGGAATGTGTCCAGAGGAGGATGACTAAAACGATCTGGAGAACAAGCCCTATGAGGAGCGGCTTCAAGAGCTGGGCATGTTTAGTCTGAAGAAGATAAGGATGAGAGGAGACATGATAGCCATGTATAAATATGGGAGAGGAAGTCATGGGGGGGGGGGAGCAAGCTTGTTTTGTGCTGCCTTGGAGACTAGGACACGGAAACTATGGCTTCAAACTACAAGAAAGGAGATTCCATCTGAACATGAGGAAGAACTTGCTGTGAGAGCCGTTCAGCAGTGGAACTCTCTGCCCCAGAGTGTGGTGGAGGCTCCTTCTTTGGAAGCTTTTAAACAGAGGCTGGATGGCCATCTGCCAGGGGTGCTTTGCAATATTCCTGCTTCTAGGCAGGGGGTTGGACTGGATGGCCCATGAGGTCTCTTCCAACTCTAGGATTCTATGATTCTATGAATGGCTAGAAGGGCTTGGAGAAGGCTTGGAGGAGAAGGGGCCTGGGCCTGCAGGAGGAGGAGGAGAAGGAGGAGGAGAAGGGCTGCCTGCCTGCCTGCTGGGAGAGAGGGAGAGGCTCCCACACACACCAAGTGGCGCCTGCTGCATGTCTGAACAACAAGCTCCAGTGTCCACAAGTGGGGTACCAGGTTTTGCCTCTCCCTCCATATGAGACATGGGCAATGGAGGCTGGGGGAGCTACTCTGCCATGCTCTTTGGTTGCTTCTTCTCACAGGAACCCTGGTGGTGCAATGGGTTAAACCCTTGTGCTGGCTGAACTGGTCCACCTGAAAGGTTGGCAGTTTCAGGTCCACCTTTCAGGTCCACCTTTCAGGTTGGCAGGGAGAGAGATAAGCTCCTCTCTGTTGAGTTCTAGCTTCCCATACCGGGACATGAGAGAAGCCTCCCACAGGATGGTAAAACATTAAACATTCAGGTGTCCCGTGGGCAATATTCTTATAGACGGCCAATTTTCTCACAGTAGAAGCGACTTACAGTTTCTCAAGTCACTCCTGACACAAAAAAAACAAGACCCCCCCCCCCACCCAAGACTCTGCTGTGTCCTTCTATGAGGCCAGTCTTGTGACAGACAGAGTGGGGAGGCTGCCATGGGGCATAGGGGCAGGGTGGGTGCGGGGCTTGTGTGAGAGAAGGCACAATGGTGTTGACCTGCTGCGCCGCTCTCCTCTCTCCTTCCAGCCCTTCCACTGGGAACATTTCGGTGGTGAAAGAGATCGTGGACAAGCTGCTGAAAGGCTACGATGTGCGCCTCCGCCCAGACTTCGGAGGTATGTGGCTCCCGCTTCCAATGTATGCTTTCTCTGGGGATCTCAGTTTAGAGGGCAAGGATATCACCAGTGAAGAGGTCAGAGTTGGGGTTGCTTCTATTTATGATGGTGCCACCACTGTGCAGGCACTGCAGTGGCCATTTCTGCCACTGGCTTCAACTTGTGCAAGTGGCCTTCACCTTCGATGTGGCTCATTTCTTTCCCAGTGCTTCATGTGCCCCGTTTCCCCTTTCTCAGATCTCAATCCTTCCCCCCCACCTCCCGCCACCCCATGCACTCACCATGTCTTCCATCCTCATTTCATCCTCTTCCTCTTGAATGGTGGAGGGACCCAACCATGTCCCAGTGTCATTCTTCTTGAGCCCTTGCAATTCCAAGTAGTGGCTGAAATATTTACCCTGAGCCTGGAGATGATTCTGGAGGCTACTCAACGTGACAGGAGAGCTGCCATTGAAGTGAGGATGGGTGGAGATGGCCCCATTTGGATTGTGATTGTGGCTTGGGACATTGTGACTTTTTCCTGGCTTCTGCTTTTTAGGCAAGATGTGTGCCTTCATAATGTGTCATTGTTGACAGCAGTTCCCTTCTTTCCAGCTGTCCTGGGATACCCTTGACATATGCGCACACACGCGCTGCACTGCCACCCTTTGGCTGGGAGCTGCTCATTTGCCCCATGATTCCTGTATTCCCGCTTTGCCAACCTTATAGCAATGATAGACTGTGCTGCAGTAAGGGACCATGGAAGGAGGACAGGTTGGGGGGGGGGGCACATGAGCCAGGGAGGTGGGCAGGCAGAGGACTGGAAGCAGCTCAGAACCAGCTTAGGTTGGAGGGAAGCCCTATAGTCCTTGATGATCCTGAGGAAGAAGCAGGAGAAGGGACTTGGGAGATGGGAAGCCCTTCGTGCAGGAGTCTGTGCCAGGTGCTCCTGGAGCAAACAAGACAAGGGCCTCCGGCGGAGCAGCTTGCTTCCCCAAGGCAAGACAAGGCAAGAAAGGCAAGGCACCCTTGAGCCCTGAGGCACCCACAGGAATGCGGTTTTAGCCTTCGTAAATGCCCCCACCCCATGCAGAGGGAGTGGGGAAGGAGGTCCCAATATTTCCAAAAGGAGGTCAGGCCTTGGGGGAATAGCAACTCTCATTTTGAGCCATTCAGATGCTTTCTGAGCAGAGGGGCTGATTGTGGGAAAGGGTTAGGATTGCTGGCAGAGGGGTTGCGCAGAGGAATCCCAGCATGGCTCAGTTAGTGGTCCACAATGCTCTTCTGAAGAGATATAGGATTTTGACCAAGGAACTGTAGCCCAAGTATGGTGAAGAGGCCCCAGGGGAGCCCCTAAAGCAGGTATGGGAAAATCCAGGCCTAGGGGACAGATGTGGCCCCTTGGGCTTTTTTCTCAGGCCCCCCCCCATCCTATTCTTCCTTCCTTCTCTCTTTCCTTCCACCTTCCTTCTTCCTTCCTCCCTCTCTTCCTTCCTTCCTTCCCACCCACCCTTTTGTCCTTCCTTCCTTCCCTCTTCTCTCCCTTCCTTCCTTCCTTCCTTTCTTCCTTCCTTCCTCCTTCCTTCCTTCCTTCCTTCCTTCCTTCCCCCCTTCCTTCCTCCTTTCTCCTTCCTTCCTTCCTTCCTTCCCTTCCTTCCTTCCTTCCTTCCTTCCTTCCTTCCTTCCTTTTCTTTCTCCTTCCCTCCCTCCCTTCCTTTCTTCTTTCTTTCCTTTCTCCGTCCCTTCCTTCCTTCCATCCCTCTTTCTCCCTCCCTCTTTCCTTCAATTCCATCCTTTTCCATTCTTCCTTCCTTCCCTCCTTCCTTACTTTTTCTCTCCCTCCTCCCCTCTCTCCCTTTCTCCTTCCTTTTTTTCCATCCTTTTCTTCCTCCCTCTCTTTTCTCTCTCTTCCCTTCCTCTTTCCCTTCCTTCCTTCCCTCTTTCTCTTTCCCTGTTCCCTTCCCTTCCACCCTTTTGTCCTTTCTTCTTTCCTTCCCTCTCTTTATCCTCCCTCCCTCTCTCCCTTCCCCTCTTCCTTCCTTCCTCCTTTCCATCCCTTCCTTCCTTCCTTTTCTTCCTTCCTTTTCTTTCCTTCCTTCCTTCCTCCCTCCCTCCTTCTATCCCTCCCTCCCCTCCCCTTTTTCCTTCCTCCTTTCCTCCTGGGGATGTTTAGCTGGCAGAAGAGAAGGTAGAGAGGGAACATGAGAACTATGTTTCAAGATTTTAAAGGGTGTCCCATTGATGAGGAGGGAGGGGAAAACTGATTTTCTGCTGTTCTAGAGAGCAGGGCATAAGGGAGCAATGGTTTCAAATGGCAGGGGAAGATATTTGACTGAAAAGATTAGGAAGAACTTCCCGAGAATAAGAGATGTTGGAGAATGGCATAGGCTGCTTCGGAGTGTGATGGAGGTTTTTCAGCAGAGGCTGTCTATTAGGAGTGCTTTGATTGTGCCTTCTTGCATGGCAGGTATTATACACCAGAACAGAAACACCTCTGACCTTAATTACCACACCTGCTTGGTAAAATTAGCAAGCAGTTTATTGTAGAATATATGTAGGCAAAGCAGTAAAAGTCCAAAATAGTCCATAAGCTTTAAAGGGAAACAAGATCTACAAGTACATAGCAATCCATGAAACAAGGCACTTGAAACCATGAAGCAAAACAGCAGGAAAATCCCATAGGCAAAACTTAAGCTTGGCAAAAACTTGATACATGAAACTCAGAGCACTTGAAAGCAAGACTGTGATAAAATAACAACGTTGACTCAAATGAGGCAACTCACTCCCATGAATCATTATAAACTTTTCCAGAACCCAAAATTGACTTTCCTACCAGATAACAGCTTGTTATCTTTCTTTTGCTGTAGACGAACTGATTGCCTCAGTCTCTGAAAGCTCTGTCTCTGTTTACCGAAACTTTGTTTTCTGTCCAAGGTTTCTCTGTCCTCTCCCTCATTTACACCTGGCTAATCAGTCTCAGCATCATGTTCAGACAGTTGTTCTGAGAAAAGCGGTGAAAGATCTCTCCCAGGAATGTGGCCTTGTGAATCTTCCTGAGCCAGCTCAGGCCTATCTTCTGAACTTAACTCAGGCCAGAGCAAACCCTCATCTCCAGACCCATCATCAGGACCACCATCCCCGTTCCCATCATGAACATCAACATGAACATGTTCATGTATCAAGTTTTAAGGATTGTACGGTTTTATATTTTTATATTGTATGTTAGTGTTTTTAATAGTATTTTATGATTGTTATACTTTTTAATTGTTATGACTGTTGAGGCATTGAATTGCTATCATTTGTAAACTGCTCCGAGTCATCTTTCGGGCTGAGAGGGGCGGTATATAAATATAGTCAGGGTGGCTCAACCCATTACGCAAAGTAAGCATTTGCAGTATAGTTGATGTTGCCTAGGGGCGCTCTTGAGGTCCTCTTGGGGGAAAATAGACCTTGACATATGTGAGTTGTAGTTACTGGGATGTATAGTTCACCTATAATCAAAGAGCATTCTGAACTCCACCAATGATGGAATTGAACCAAATATGGCACACAGAACTCCCACGACGAACAGAAAATATATATCAGTGAGGGGGGGGGGGACCAAAATACTGTTTGCTTACCATTGAAAATTACCTAGGGCCACCTCTGAATATAGTAAATAAATAAATAATAAATAAACATAATTGCCAACATGAACATCAGACACAATCACAGGCTGAACAGGCTGACATACAACAGCAGGGGGTTGGACTGGATGGCCCTTGGGGGTCTCTTCCAGCTCTAGGATTCTAGGATTATATATCAGGAGTAGGCAACACAAGGTCTAATGGATACACCTTTTCTCTCCCGTGCACCATCTCATCCTGACCAAGGCCAACCCTTTTGGGATCCAAACATTTCCCGTCTTTGCTTCACTTTCTGCCTCCGAAAGAGAAGAGAAAGGGGGGAAAGGGAAGGGAGAGGACTTGGGGAGAAATCCCCCCTCCCACCTTGCCCACTCTGCTCTGGCCCATTATGCAGCCCCCAAGTTATAGTTTGCCCATGCCTGTCCTAAATGCTCAGGGATGATCCACAGGCCCTTTCTGTTGTTTCTGGTAGTTCTTGGTATTGAGGTGGAGGGGTGGGTGAACAATTGCTGCACCTTCAAGAAGAGCTTGGGCCGGTGCCAACTGGTCAGCATGATGTTCTTTTTTGGAGTACATCTACAAGACATGATAATTTAGGCAGTTGTTCTGTGAGCATTTAGAGAAAGGCATTGCCAGCCAGGGAGCCAGTATGGATTTCTCAAGGACCAAAAGTGACAGCTTGGCCTTGGCTGGGAGTCTGGATCAGGCCCCTCCCTGCCCTCCCTCCTTTTAAGTCCCACAGGCCAGCGCCATTGATGGCCAAGGGAGAGGGGAGGTCCAGCGAGCCTTGGGGTGTGCAGCGTGACCAGGGGCGGCTCAACCATTACGCAAAGTAAGCGTTTGCAGTATAGTTGATTTTGCCCAGGGGCTGGAATGTGTCCAGAGGAGGGCGACTAAAATGATAAAAGGTCTGGAGAACAAGCCCTATGAGGAGCGGCTTAAGGAGCTGGGCATGTTAGGCCTGAAGAAGAGAAGACTGAGAGGAGATATGATAGCCATGTATAAATATGTGAGAGGAAGCCACAGGGAGGAGGGAGCAAGCTTGTTTTCTGCTTCCCTGGAGACTAGACGCGGAACAATGGCTTCAAACTACAAGAAAGGAGATTCCATCTGAACATGAGGAAGAACTTCCTGACTGTGAGAGCCGTTCAGCAGTGGAACTCTCTGCACCAGAGTGTGGTGGAGGCTCCTTCTTTGGAAGCTTTTAAACAGAGGCTGGATGGCCATCTGTCAGGGGTGATTTGAATGCAATATTCCTGCTTCTTGGCAGGGGGTTGGACTGGATGGCCCATGAGGTCTCTTCCAACTCTTTGATTCTATGATTCTATGAAAATAGACCTTGACATATGCGAGTTGTAGTTACTGGGATGTATAGTTCACCTACAATCAAAGAGC